TGATATGGTGCCTGGCACGTAAAAGGCACTGAATGCAGATTTGTTGATTGATTGAGTCCAACCTCTTCATCTTATGGGTGAAAAAAAAGTGAGACACATTGAGGTTAGATAGACTGTCCAAGACCACAGAGGTAATGAATGGCTGAGCTGAGATTAGAAACCAGGTCCTACAAACTCTCGACACTGAATGGTCTCCAGGGCCCCATGAGGCCTTAGACTGAAAACCCTTCCAACTCTGAGGTTCTGGGATTCTCTGTGTTGACCTGAATGTTATCCAAGCCATCTGTCTGCCTAAAAGCAACTGGGTTTGATGTAGTTTCCCCACCATGTTGTGTCTGTGGTCATATCTGGGTCTTGTGAGCTCATCTGACTTGGGGACTGAAAGACTTGGCTAAGTCCACATCTTGGTCTGCAATGTGTCAGGGTGCCCATGCACAACTCAATAGCATCTGCATGCTTCTTGCAGGGAGGAAGTCACTGTGGTTTTGTTGAAACCCCACCGAGATCGGTACAAATATCATTGGGGTCACGAAACCACCTGGGTGGGTTTGACACCCACCCTTTGAATTGTGCCCCCTCACTGTAGCTTAGCACAAAGAGCCTGCCTGGGCTCTGACTGTCTTTCTGAGCTCAAAGGATGGAAGAAACCCTAGGCAGCTGCAGCTGGTTTCCTGGAGGCTGAAACTTGGATGTCTACTATGAAAAAGTACCATTCCCTCCCCATCTCTCACCCCTAGGTATCATAAAGATGCTTGATTTTTTAAAAAGTAAGTTCAATTATTTATTATTTTGTGGAAATGCAGGGGAGTGTTGAAGATAAGAGAGAGGCAGTATGGGATAGTGGGTAGAGCACTGGACTTGGAGTCAGAAAAACCTGGGTTCAAATCTGGCCTCAAGTGCTTATTAGTTGTATTACCCTGGGCAAGTCACTTATCTGCTCTGTGCCTCAGTTTCCTGAGCTGTAAAATGAAGGCAGTAGACCTGATTGCCACTAAATTGATGACCCTATGACTACGAGCTAACTCCTCAGGGTCTCAGGCAATTTTCTAAGCCTATATGTTACAGAACAGTATGAGATTTGCATTTGGTAGAGGGAATTTCCAGACTGAGACTATCCCACACCAATAAAAAAAAAAACAAAAAAACAACCAAAACCCACAGGTTTTATCCAAAATCAAGCCATACTGTTGTTTTCTGTTTTTATTTCATAGTCATTTCTTTATCTACCACCCCACCACCCACCAACACTATAATCCCTCCCTTCTAACAGAAAAAAACAATTTTGTGAAGCCAACCAACAAGGGAGCTAGTCCAACATCGTATGCCAAATTTCACCCCCAAATCCTCCCCTTTCCACCAAAAGGAAAGAGGTGTGTTTCCTCCCTGGGGCTCCAGGGTCAACGACGGTCATTGCAATTACAGAGTTTCCATTCTTTTTGGTGTTTCTCTTTACACTACTGTTAATCTTGGGTAACTTGTTTTCCTGGTTCACACTGAATCCCAATTGCTCAACTCCATGGAGCTTACGGATTTCATTGACAGGTTTGATACAGCCACATCCCCCAGAGGAGAGACTGATCCAATTCACTTGTGGGCCCACTGACAATCAATGATGGTTGTTGCTTGATTCCTTAACCCTAAAAGAGGCAGCCAGAGAGTGTAGTGAATAGAGAGCCAAGAAGACTTGAACTCCAATCCTGCCTCAGAGACTTAGTAGCTATGTGGCCCTGGGCAAATCACTTAACCTCTTTCTGCCTCAGTTTCCTCATCTTTAAAATGGGGATAATAATGGCACCTATCTCCCAGAGTTATTGTGAGGATCAAATGAGATAATGTATGCACAGTGCTCTATAAAACTTAATGTGCTATGTAAATGTGAGCTATTATTATTCCTTTGAAGGCAGCCAAACAGTGAAAAAGAATCCTGGATTTTGAGTCAGAGGAGCTGGGTTCTAAACCTGGTTCTGTTAATTACTGCCTTTGTGTCCTTCGGCACTTCATCCCTCTGGTCCTCAATTTCCTCATCTGTAAAATAAGAGAATTGAATTTGATGACAGATATGGTTCTTTCCAGCTCTAAATCCTATAAACTCACTACTAGAAGAATGGAAAACCCAACAACTTTGTCATTGGTTAGTATCTCCGCTAAAACTGCTGACATCACAGTTTTCATTTCTTCATTTATGAATTCAATCAATAGATTTTTTTTTGAGGTTAGGCAATGAGGTTAAGTGACTTGTCTAGGGTCACACAGTTAGTAAGTGTTATGTGTTCAGGTCCTCCTGAATCCAGGGCCAGTGCTCTATCCACTGCACCACCTAGCTGCCTCTCAATAGATATTTATTAAATACTTAACATTTGCAGTGCTCCAAGCTAGGCACTGGGGGAGATACAAAAATAAATAAGACAGGGATCTTGCCCTCAGGGGGCTTATAATATAGTAAGAGGAAGTTAAGACCTATACATGATAAATCAGGGGTGGGTAACCTGTGATAGATATGAAAGTCATCTGACTTCTCTCCCACTTGCCCTCCATAGCCAATGGTTGACAAATCTTATTCAACCTCCATATTTCTCACCCATACCCTAACCCCTCTAGACCATCACCTCTCTCTCGGACTATGGCAATAACCTCCTTACTGGCCTCTTTTGCTTCAAGGCTCTCCCCTCTCCAATCCTCCTTCAAACTGCAGGTAAACTGATATATTCCTAAAGCATAGGTATGACTTCTCTCCTCAAGAAACCCCAACAGCAAAGACTTACATGAACTGACGCAAAGTGAAGTGAGCAGAACCAGGGGCACACTGGGCACAGTAAGAGCAACATTGTACAAAGATCTGTGAATGACTTAGCTATTCTAAGCAATGCAATGATCCAAGACAGTCCCAAAGACCTCATGATGAAAAATGCTATCTACCTCCCATGAAAGAACTGATGTTATCTGAATATAGACTGAAGCATACTATTTTTCACTTTCTTCTTTCCTTTCCTCTTTGCTTCCTTCCTGTCTTTCTTTCTTTCTTCCTTCTTTCCTCTCTTTCTTTCTTTCTTCCTTCCTTCTTTCCTTCCTTCCTTTACTTCTTTCTTGAGTCTTCTTACTGAAAATGATTAATATCAACATGTTTTACATGATTGCAGACGTATAACCTATATCAGATTACTTACTGTCTCAGGGAAGAGGGAGAGGAGGGAAGAAGGAATAGAATTTGCAACTCAAAACTAAAAAAAAAATGAAAAGAATGAATGTTAAAAATTGTTTTTACCTGTAACTGGAGAGAAAAAAATAAATATATTTTTAAAAATAAAAATAACATAGCACCATAAAAAAGAAAAGAAGTGAAACTTCAGTGGTTCCTTCTTGTCTCCCAGATCTAAGATAAACTCCTCTCTGTGGTATTATAAGGCCTTCACAATCTGGCTCGAGCCCACCTTTCCAGACTTAGTGTATGTTCTTCCTTATTGCGCACTCTATAGACCTATAAACCACTTCCCCATGTATATCCAACCGTCTTCCATCTTTGTGTACTTGTACCTGTCCCCCAGTGGCAGTAACTAGTCAGTGGTAATGACATCAACTAACACTAATTACCATTTATTACCCATCAGAGTTCAGAGAAGAGAAAGATCAAACCAAAGTAGACTGGAGAAGTCAGGGAAGACTTCCTCTAAGAGGTGGCATTTTGGTTAAACCTCGAAGGAGAAGGATTTGGACAGGAGGGGGGACAGGAGGAGACCCAGAACCAGGAAAGTGTATGTTGTGCTCAAGGTAAAGAGATCAAGATCACCCCAGCTGGAGCAAAAGGTTCCTTTTGGGGAAAAACCCATTCTAATATTAAATCTGATGATCCCATGATTCTAACTAAGAGCTCTGGCAAAAGTGTGCCTCTTCCCCTCTCATTCCTGCCTGAATGAGGACTCTTAGATCCAACAGAAAACATCCCCAGGCTTTACAGATCTACACACACACACACACACACACACACACATCAATTGACTTTTGAACCCTGTTCTCCAAGACAGACAAGTGTTTTATCCGAAGCCACAGTTACCGAAGACACAGAAAAGAAAGTTCTCACCAGCAAAGTCCTTGGCAATGTCAAATGGCTCAGAATCAGAAATGAATATGGTTTTATCCACTGAAATGACAGTAGTGGAGATGCATCATCACCCAAAGGGCTGTGTGATTTTTCCATTTGACTTGCAAATGAAACCTCCTAAATGTCTTGTCTCCCCTATTAAAAGCAGCTCCTTTAGAAGGGGGACCATCTTCCTTTTTCTACTTATATTTCTAAAGGCAAGGGTGGTGTTCGGCACATGGTAATAATTTAATATATACTCTCTCAGTCAGTCAAGTCTTCACAGTGTCCTTGAGAAGAGTCATAGTAAGTAGTGGTCATTCCATCCTATACCTCTTTTATAGAAAGGAAGACGTAAAGATCTAAACCCTAAACTAGGAGTGAAGGCTGAAACTGTGATCCGTTGCACATAGCAGGTACCTCAGAAATATTAGTGAATTTCATCTAACCTCTGAGGCAATATAGAGCAGTGGAAAGACTAGATTGTGAGTCAGTCGATCTGACCCTTACTAGCTCTGTGACCCCCTGGGCCTCTGTTCCTCCTCTTTAAAATAAGGGGAGCTGGACTAGCCCTTCAAAGCTCCTCTTCCATCTCTAACTAGATGATCTTCTAGAATAGGGTTTCTGAACCTTTTTTGTGTCATGGGCCTCTTGGGCAGCCTGGTGAAGTCCATGGAACCCTTCTCATAATTATGTTTGTTGCTTACTTTCATAATTGAAGGAGATGCTAAGTTCCAGTTAGAGGCAGTGAAAATTGAGAAGTTACTTCCCCCCTCCCCCAAAGTTGTGAAGTCCTGGAATCTACCCATGGACCCCAAGTTAAGAACCACTGCTCTGATCCAATGTTGCTAGTCAATGGTACCATTATACACTTTAATCTCTCTTTCTCATCCTCTCTCCCTTCTTCCCCTAGGAGATTTTGTAAGGAAGGCCCCTGCAGATGGGACTGTGCCTCTGCTCCTGGTCCACCCCAGCCTATCCTTCCGGATGCCATGCTTTGGGTAGAGTTGACTTCTAATAAATGTCGGTTGAATTGAATTAAATCATCCCATCTCTTCCTTTCTCTCTGTCAAGTCCACCGACAAATTAATGCTAGGCCTTTCCGAGCCCTTTCTGCACATACAATCACAAGTCACCCATTTGCCCATTTCTCCCACTGGCCGTGAAGGATGTCCTAGGCTCCAGGCTGAACCCAGTGGATGATTTGGAAGGACTTTCGCAGCTCGACCCAATCTGCAACCTTCTCTCCTATGCTTTACCCTTACCTCCCTCAGTTCTCCACCACTTGCAGATGGGAAATGGCCAGCCTCAAGAAGGGTGATTTTTTTTTTTGTAGGTTATCAAGTGACATCACATCCTCTAATCTCCACCGGGCAAGACAGAGAAGCTTCCCCACCCTTCACCCAGCCGGGGGCCCCCCTCCTCTGACTTGGAGCTGCCCAGCTTTCTGGCTCGCGTGAGACTGCTCGCTGGCCCTGTGGCCCGGCGGGAAGTAACAAGGGAACTAGGGATGGGCTCCCTCTTCGCTGTACGGTCCCTGTTGCTGCCGCTGGCCCTTCTGCTCCGTGAGTAACCACAATAAGTTCAGAATTTGTGACCCGGGCAGGGATCCCTCCCAGAGCATCCTGGCCGATGCCCGGAGGTGGAGGGGAGGGACGGATTCCGGGGCTGCGGAGCCCTGAGGGCACAGCCTGGAGAGGTAGGGTGCAGCTGGGACTGCCGTGCACCTGTGGGGAGACCCGGACCGAGGACCAGGTGGCTCTAGCCTTTCTGCCCGTGACGCTTGCTCTCTCCTTCCCAGAACCCGTCGGGTCCCAGGCGCAGCTGAGATTCCGGATGAATCCCCTGGAAAAGCGGAGCGTCCGGCTCTCCGAGAAGGTGCAGCTGCAGTGCGAGACGCTGAGCACTTCGTACACAGGGTGCTCGTGGCTCCGCCTGGCCCCCGAAGCCCGGGTCCCCACCTTTCTGCTCTTCATCTCGGGCAGCACCCCAAGCGTGAAGCTGGCCGACGGCCTGGACCCCAAACGATTCCAGGGTGAAAGGACGTCGCCGTCCACGTACCGCCTGACCCTGAATAACTTCGGAGACGAAGACCAGGGCTACTACTACTGCGTGGTCACCCGCAACTCGGTGATGTTCTTCAGCCCCTTCGTGCCTGTTTTATTGCCAGGTCAGGGCCTGGTCACCCTCGCTGGGGTCCCAGCACTGACTGCCCGGCCGTCCCGACATCCCCCCGGGGCGTGGGCGCAGATGGAGCCGAGGCAGGAGCTGTCCCGGGCCCCACCGAGGCTCCCATAGGGTCGGGATGCAGGGCAGCCTCCCCGGCACGGTTCCCTTTTTCCTAGAATTCCAGTGGGTAACTCTGCCCCCAGGAAACCAAGGCACTAGAGGAGAGTGTTTGGGGCACCGAGGGTTGACAGAGATCAAAAGAGAAGTCCCTCACCCTCTCTGGGCTTCACTTTCCTCACCTGTGAAATGAGGGCGTCTAAGGTCCCTTCTACTTCTACATCTATGAACCTTTAATGTTTGTAAAGGATTGTGCAAGCCTTGGAACCCCAAATGAACGTGCACTATTCTTTTTAGATCCCCCTCCCCCCAGGATTGAAGGGGACCCAGATAGACCCCATACACACACTATACAAAAAGTCATATAACAACTCCACTAATGATAAACACCTGACATTTGGAAGGCCCTTTAAAGTTTGGACCTGGTGCCCTTCCCACATAAAGAGAAAGCACGTCTGGCGGAGCCCCCGGGCAAACTTAACGGAGGACCAGGATAGGAGTGGCTTAGGATGGGTAGGCAAGGGTTGTGTTATAATCAGCATCACTGCAGCCAAAGTTCTAAATGAATGAGCTCTCGTCCATCTAAGTATTTTAAAGTTCTGAAAGCGCTTTTTATGTATTATTCCATGTGAGCCTTACAATAACCAGCTGAGGTTAAGTAGTGCAGGTGTCAGCCCCATTTTAGAGATAAGGAAACTGGGGCTTTATGATTTTCCAAGGTCACACACCGAAACTATCTAGGAACAGGACTAAAACTCAGGGCTTTGGACTCCAAGCCCCTAAGTGGTTTCTCCATTGTCTCCACCCTCAGAGAGTACTTCAGAGAGGAAGACTGACACCCAGAGAGGTCCAACAGCTTGCTCAGAGCAGGATCCAGATTAGAAGCCAAGACTACTGACCCAAAATCCATCCAAGGATCTCCTTGCTCCTAGAGCATGCTATTCTGTCCATGGGTCTTTAAACACACAAGAACACATATATGGATAAGAACAAATATATGGATAACCCATACATAGAAAAAAAGACAAAAAAATCAACTTCTGTACCTATAGAAACACAGATGTCCTGCTCCATCCCTAGATAGTACCAACCTGTCAACTGAAAACTGCAAGAATTGACTCAGTTTCTTCTCCTGTTGAATGGATAGTGCTGAGTGCATGGCAGAAATGTCCTCCATTGACTGATGAAATTGTGCTAATGTTTCCTTTGCTCCTAGCCTGGGGAGAGTGTTAGGGAGCTTACAGGGACCCCTGAGCAGGATGGGGGACTGTTTGACTCTGCAGAAGGGTAACAGATGCCCACTGCCCTGTATCTCTGCATTCAACTGAGAATAGAGGGAGAGTGTTTCTTGCCTAGTGATGAAGATCAGAGAGAGAATGATGTGTTACTTTTAAAGGAGAAGGAAAAATTAGGAGGCGGGGAGTTATACAGACCAACTTGATTCACTTTCCTCCCTTTTATCTCTGCCCAGTAAAGGCTACCACCACCCCTCCACCCAAGCCCAAGACCACCACTCTCCTGGCCACCACCCAATCTTCCAACCAGGTTCCAGCAGGTTCTGAGAACTGCAAGACCATCTCCCGCTTTCAAGGTGAGGAAATGACTCCTACCCTCTCTCTCCCCTCCCAGGTTGGGGAAAGCACAACATGAGGAGGGGTGGGTAGAATCTAGAGGGGACTAAAGTGTGAGATAAGACTGAACAGGTCATTTGGAGTCAGGGTGTGGAAGGCCTTGAATGTCAAGACCAGGAGTTTATACTTCATGTGTGGGCATTGGAAGGTCTACAGAATCAAGAATAAGTAACTCTCACTGGGAAGAGAGAAGTGTGTCCTGCTCCCTTCCACCACTACTGAGGAACAGAGTTCCTTTAGAAGGACTTATTGGTCCTTTTCTAAATTCTGGAGAGAAGGGCATCTTTGGTCAGATAAGACAGGATAAGACAGACTCAACTGGCAGGATTCCCAGAGAGCCAGATAGGCTGGGGACTGAGCCTCGTCCCCTAGGACTAAGGGGGAATTCCTGCTTGGTCTCCTGGATTTCATCTTCATTCTGGTGGTGCCCTCCAAAATCCTCTGCCAACATCAGCTTCCTGGCATGATTAGGAAGACCAGGGCCCAGCAAGCCTCATTGAGTTTCCCTCTGTTTTGTGTGTACAGAAAAGAAGGGATTGGATTTCTCCTGTGACCTGTACATCTGGATGCCCCTGGCTGGTGTCTGTGCTGTCCTGCTTCTGACCCTCGTCACTACCATTATCATCTGCCAGAGTAAGAGGCAACCCTTCTTTCCATACCCATCCATCCACCCCCAGGACAGATTCCCCTCTCCCAGAGTAACTTCCTGGTCCCTCAAACTCTAGAAGGGTAGATAAGACTCCCTCACTCCATCCCCCAGATAGTTCCTTATGGTCCATAATGCTCCCTGCTGCATTCTTCTCCAATGTTAAGCAGCTAGTGGGTGCTGAGATTTAAACCCAAGTCTTCTGATCCCCAAACCATGGTTCTTTGTAGCACAGCCTAGAGCCCAGTTATAAAAAGCCCCAGGACTGGCATTGGGAGGGAAGGCTTTATTTGGCCTTGGAGTGTTCCTGAAACCCTAAAAATCACCAGTTTAGAGATGACCTATCCAAGTAGAGCCTGCCTCGGCCTCTATGAATCAAGCATCTGCCATATTACAACACGGATTGAGAGCTGGCCTTGGAGCCAGGAACACGTGGGTTTATATTCTGGCCCATCCTGGCCAAGTTACTTAAACTCTCGGTACTCCCAGACAACGCTCTGAGACTAAACTGCAGAGACCTGGTGATCTGCACTGGAAGGGGGATTTTCTTCACCTGGGAGTTTCTTAGATGAGTGAAATTATAAATCTCGCCTCTGTCCCTAGGTGCTCAGTCCTGGGGATACAGAAACAAGGAGCACTGGGGGAGATGTAACAGGTTCACAGAATAAATGGGGGAATAAACACCTAGAGGAATCAGGAAAAGGCCCTTGAAGGTGGCCCCTGAACAGAATCTTAAAGGGAATGAAAGATCCCAAGAGTCAGGAATGAGGAGAAAGGTTATTCCAGGCATGGGAGACAGCCTGGGCAAAATCAGGAGATTGAGGAAACTGGGCTAAATGAGCAACTTGGGCTGATATGGCGGGAGCGTGGAGTGGGTGAGGGAGTAATGTGTGATCCGCCTGGAAAGACAGGCTGACAGACAGACAAGAGACTCTGCGCTGCCCTGTTCTTACTGCGGGACACGAGCTTAATGGGAGAAAACTTTCAAATGAGCAGTTAGCCCACAAAGGTCAAAGCGGCTGCTATGTCCCAGGCATCGTGCTAAGCTCAGAGATACAAAGACAGACAGAATATACACCCTGCTCCCGAGTCGTCCGGAAGACAGACAGCGTGTTTCTTACCTGCTGTTTTTTCATTGTCTGATTTTTTTTTTTAAAGGGTCACGAAAGCGAGTCTGCAGGTGTCCCAGGTAAGCCCCCCATTGATCCTCTTGCTGATAATTACGCAGTAAAAGGTTTGATTGAGGTAGCGTGGTGTGCTGGGCTCGGAATCGGGAAGTCAGGGGTTTAAATTCTTCCCGGGACACAATGGCAGATTCTGCAAGTATTTAATCAACGCTCAATGCAGCGTGTGTGAAAGGTCCCGAGCTCAGAAACCATCCGCTCTGGGGACAGGAAGAAACTTTCAAGGACTGGTGATGCTCACTCTTGGGAGCAGAACTGGCCGGAGAATGAGGGTTCTAGGGAGGGAAGCATGAATAGGATAGCTACCTCTGTCCTGATACAGCTTCGGAATCCAGAAATCATTGCATGAGTGTTTGTATATGTGTGTTCCTCAAAGTAACCCCATTGATTCATAGACACACAGCAAGAAGGGACCTCAGAGACCCTCTTTTTTTTTTTACAGAAAAGGAAACTGAGGCCCAGGGAAGTGAGAGGGTTTGTCCAAGGTTACACAGCTAGTACGTATCAGAGGAGGGATATGAACCCAGGCCCCTCTGACTACAGAATCACTGCCCTTCCATTGTCCCGCATTGCACATACAAGAAAGAGTGATCAGTTTCCCTGGACTTCTAGATCTTCTGCTCTGACAACCTACTTGAACAACCAAAATGCCCGTGAACCAGGATTTTAAATATTTTATTGTTACCTTTTGATTTTATCAATTTTTACCAAGATTTTATTGAGATTTTACCATCTATCCTTCCCCTCTCTTTTCCCCAGCAAGGCATCCTTGGTCACAAAGCATGAAAAAGACAGAGAGGGAGAAACAGCTCAGCAAACCTCGCTGTGAATTAACAGTCTATCAATGGAGCATCAAGCCATTTTTTAAGCACCTACTGTGTACCAGGCACTGTAGGGATACAAAAATACAAACATAGGGGCAGTTAGGTGGCATAGTGGATAGAGCACCGGCCCTGAAGT